GCTTTCCGAAACCAAGGATCTGATCACAGCTATCAGCTTTTGATTTACCAGGGGCAGTGACATCTTCCTTCTCAGGCCACACTCTCGGCATTCAGGATCGGGGTCTGGCTTTGATTGAAGGTCTGGCAAGAATAACTGCGCGAATCATGTGCGCTGCATGCAACAAGCAACTTTGGCAAGGAATGTGTGTGAGAAATGTGTATCTTGCTGAATGCACATACTTGTGCAACAAACGCGAGCCACCCCTCTCTAGTGCATCATTATGCCATGGAGATGAAACAAAATCTGACCGAATGCTTCTTCAAAAACATCAGATGTGAAGCTTGTGCAAACCTGAACCCCACTCTGGGCAGGAAGAACATTAGAGCCCCTTGCCAAGCCAATCCCTACAGCTCCTGAGCTACCCTCAAACATAGGGCGACGTGGCTGAACAACTGCAAGATGGCCAATACGAAACTGCAAATCAAAATGAGCTCCTGAACCTGACACATGCAAGGAGTGCAGTAAAATGAGGAGACGAGTCGATTCTGGAGACGGGTCGTGAGTGAAGTGTTTTTTTAGTTGCAAAAGTAGCATCTGCCCAAAACAACGATCTCTTTTGGTGCCCAAAACCACGGACGACCTGCGACCCGCCACCTCAGATCCCTCTTTTGGGCGATATGGAGGTGGCCGGAAGTCCGCGGGAGGTGAAGAAGGCTTCACCATCAATGAAACAACTGGCTCATCTCTCCCAAAGTAACATCCAAGTCATGACCTGCCCAGATCCGACTGACAGGCAGCCTGACAGCACGGCGTCCGACTCGGCAAAGTCCGGGTGCAAACACTCCGCAGCATGCAGTGCACAAACGGCATAGCACAGTGGTCTAGTCTCGAGTCACACCAGTGGCATCTAAGAAGCCTTATGCAAAAGTGGTCAACTGCACGCCAGCTGAGGTCTCACTGGCATGTGGAGATCCCTAGGAGCTCTACTTGACGATGGGTCTTACGTTCCTCTAGCCCACTCTAGCCCACAGCCACAATCACGAACTGAGCAACGAACGCCCCGCCTTCGGCACACTCTTCTGCGGTCTCAAGGCACTACTGGGATTGAGGGCTGGTGCAGAACGACTCCCAAATCCAAAGGCGGACAACTTACACCGCTGACTCACTGACTGTTGGGCTCACATGGAAATTGCTCACTCTTTGAGCATCCTTCCTCTGGAAGGGGGACGTGATTGACGTGATCTATGTCTCGCTTCATGACTAGAACTTGAACTAGAAGACACGAGAGGGACAGTTTAACACACTCTGGCTTCTGACACACAGCAGCTAGCCCTCCAGAGAGCCAAGGCATGGTCAAGGGCATCGTCTCTGGCAACACTGCCGACAGAAGGTCTGTAAGCGCCGTCATAGCTCAAGACATACCAAAGTTTGCACTAGGTCACCTCACAACTTGAGGCGGATTCAACTTTGCGCACAGGGAGCTCGTACAAAACGCCCTTCTCGTAGCATATCATGAGCGCTTCGGAGTGCTGAAGTCCTCCGTGTGGCTTGTCACTTGTTGTTCATGCTATTCTTTGTTGCTTGCGGTAGAATCAAAGGCAAGTGCCGCTTTGAAAACTGCGACGAAGAGCTTGCCCAGAATCTAAAACCAAAACGCCAACTGCACAATAACAAAAAACAGTGGTGGAAAGACCATGTTCGTTCTCAGGGAAGAGCAGTTGAACGGCAGGTTAGTCTTGCTAGACGGTGAACACTTGAGTCCAAAGCACCGGAACGGTGCGAGCTGAGCCAGCTGCAAGAAGCTGTTCAGCTGAGCCATCAGGTTCCACCAGCTCGATTCGGAATGCTAATTGACAAAAACGGTGACGCCCACCTGGCTGTGGCATCCCCCAACTCACAAATTAAGATCAACTTGAAAACAATAACCCTCCCACTCTTGCCAGTCAGACCCTCCAAAACCGTTTTCTCCTTCAGACTCTCTTCCAACAAAGCACGAGAAAACTGCAGCACGTGATTGGCGAAACTGCGCCGCGCTTGTAGAAACTGCTCCGTGTCTCTTGCGATGACTCGCCCTTCAGGATGGGTTCGGCTGCGTTCCGCTTTCGGCGTGGGCGACGGAGCAGGTCGCTCCAAACGAGCCAAGGGCGAGTCCTCCAGGCTGTGAGGCCTCAAGAAGGCGCCGGGTGGCCCAGCCTGGCAATCGACTTCAATCCTGCATGACGCGCTTGTAAGCGAGATTCTTGGAGTGACTGGCAAGTCTCATGCCCTCTTTCTCAAAAGATCCTAAGTACATCTAAGTACTGCATGGTACAAACGTTACCAATGTTTCGGGCAGTGCCATGACGCAATGGCCAGAACTCAAAGGCTTCAACCGCAAGACTAGCAACTGCAAACATCAAGTGGCGGCGTCTGTCCCGTGGTCGACCTCTTCCAAAGTGTTCACATCAAACATCATTCACAAAACTGCCCCCGGCCATTGCCATCAGAGTGATTCGAGCCGCTTCGCAACACCGGGTAAACCGAAGACTAGGCCTCCGTGAAACCGCATGTTGGAGGCACTGGAGGAATGGCAGCTCACACAAGCTGCTCCTCGTCAGACAAGCAAGTTGGCCCAGTCTTCCCCAAGCTACACTCCAGGCTTCAACCCGACCATTGTGACTGCCGGAGCGAGGAACTCGGCGACACGTGTCCCACGTTTCCCACGTGACTCGCGACTGACGTGGCGAGGTGGAGGCCGCCTCGACGCAAAGACACGGGAGGTCTCCAAAGGCGAATGTGATGTTGGGAACCTTTGACGAAAGACCCAAAGGGTTCTTGTTCGGACCCAAAGAAGTTCGGCTTCCTGGTGCTACAAATGTCAAGTCTTTGTGAGACAACCAACACAGCAATGATGAATTGCGCCACAGCTGCCTTGGAAGACACATCCAATCTGTTGGAGGCAGATTCATACCCGTTCAGGCCACCGGATGGAGTGCCGGCTGCGGCACAAATGAGTGGCTGTGCACCGCTGCACGTGCCAAACATGAGCAGGCAACTGCTTGTGAAGTGATGCTTCGACGCCAACGGAGTCACAAACGAGCCAAGTCCATCTACGGACAGCCGGGATGCGCACTCAACCGGCTTCGACCGAACTGGATCCTCTTGCCCTCCCCATGCACTCGCAAATTGCGGTCAGCTCAAAGGTCAGAAACTCAGCAGTCATGGCCTGGCCATTTGGCTCAAAAGGAACATCCTCTGCCACCATTTCCTTGCGTTGTCTTCATTCAAACAGAATGGTGCACAAAAACATGCCCTTCCTTCAGCCTCTCAGCATTGCGCCGATACGAATCCACCATCAGTGCACCGACTTCCCTTCTTCGCCACCTCAACCCCCTGTCCCACCGGAGTCACCCACGGCCCGCCAGAGCCACTTCGCATGGGCGAGTCGCTCAACCTTCGAAGCTTCGATGCTTAAAAGCCCCACAAAGCCCCACCAAGGATGCGACCAGCACAGCTGGCACAGGTGGCACAGGTGGCACAGGTGGCACAGCTCACCTTGCCTTTCTTCGATCTCTCAGCTTGTTTTTGCAGCTTACACATGATTGTGAAGGAGCCGGGTCGTACCGATATCTTACAGGTCGTGGCCTCCGCTTTGCACAAAAAACAAACACTTACATCTTCCGACACGTCTGACGTAGGTCAAAGGTCGTTGAAAGGTTAGGGGGGTCCTTGGTGCCATTGGCGATGTGGGACGATGGGGGCAAAGCTGCTTTAAAGAGTTCTCTTCTGGAAGCGGACGACAACTAAAACGATTCCCTGCCATCACGCATGACTTTGGAGTAAAAGGAGGAAATCTGACTGCTCAGCTTCTCCAAAGAGCTCTTTTTGGGATCTTCAAACCTATATAAAGATTTGAAACCCGCCGGTAACTGGAACGTCCAACCCAGTCTAGCATCTTGGTGGCAACGTGGTGGGACATCCCTTGTTATCCTTGTTCTGGGGATGTGTGGAACGGGGGATGCGTGAGAAAATGTATGAAGGTCTCTGTGCCTTTGAGCATGTCAATTTTATGGAACCGATCAAAGCTGCCAAACCGATCAAAGACTCAGAGGCTGCCTCGCATGAATTGACTGGATCTTTGAACCCAGGGTCTTGCTGAAAGGCACGCGAAGGTCCATGTTAAAACCTACATGGACAATCAAAACACTGGTTCTTTGTGCCTGCCAAGATTGAAGCGACGTGCCTCTGTGGAGAAATGATCGCGTCTGACCCGACAGCGCCTCGAAAATGATTGTTTCACACGTCTGCTCCCTGAGAATGTCAAGGAGTCAAGGACGATATGCGTGACCTCATTCCTACAGTGAGGTTGTCATCCCGATTCAAGCAGCAATAGCTACGCTGAGGCCATTCTTGCGATCTATTTCTCGCGTTCTCGACCGTTTCAAAATCCGTCTTGGGTGACTCACCTGCCCAGGGCCACAGTCGTGTCATCGCGAAAGTCCTCCATGTCAGCCTCTATGACTCCACACGCCTTCTGGCACTGATGGATGGAATGTTTCTATTCTCGCGCTGCCTCTCAAAACTTCAAGCATGTTCGGTGGCAAGCTAGTTTCGCGGGCGATGGATGGGACATAAGACAATTTCGTGCTGAGCAAAAGCTCCACCAATGGGCTGCACAAAACTCTGGCAGCCTTCGGATTCACTGGAGCCATGGCCGCCATGAGATGTGGCTGTACCGTAGTGTGGTGTCTTTTCTTGGTTGCCAAACATGTTTTGCAAACATGCAAAAATAAGAAAAGATTGATGTGCAAGTCATTGTTCATGCAAGCTACTCCATCCATGGCTCCGCTTATTTCTTCGAACCAGGCATGTTTGAGACAAAATGCCAAAAAGCAACCTCGGAGCCGACATAGTCGTGGCTCGAAGAGCACACTTCATCTCTTCATTGTCCACGTTTGATGATTGATGGTAACAGCTCCTCAATACATCCAAAACGAGAACACCTGGAACCGATGTCCGATGCTCAGCGTGGCACTTTTAGCTCCAACAGCCCATCCGGTTCACCCACCACATGCAAAGTCAGTGCATTGGCCAATCGATTTCAACTCGACTTGAGCAGTTCACTGCACTGCCACTCATAGGTCACTCCATCCGTTCGACCAAAAAGGCCCTGCAAAAGGAGAGACGCACGAGCTGCGCGCAGGAGTTGACCGGCAAGCCGGAGCACGAAGGTTGGACACATGCCGAACATGTCGGTAAGGAAAAAATGGCCTCCCGGATTCAAAACTTACAGTATGTGTTTCTTGGTTGTTCCTCCAGGTGCAAAAATTAATGGAATTCATCAGTTCATGGATGGATACCCCTGTTGCCTCCATTAATTTAGGTGTTCCTAATTACAAGGAGGAAAAACATGCAAAAACAACATTGCCGGGCCAACAGCTCAATAGTCTCCACCAAGCCTCTGATAGCATCGAATGTCTTGTCAACAACACTTTGTCAGCCTCTCATCTTCACTTCCGTGCAAACCACCAGCACATGAACATAAAACAAACATCCAGCATCATCTAGCACTCTACCCTTTTGCTTGGCCACCTCTCTATCTAAGCGCATCCGCGCAGCTCCCCAAGCCCGACGCCTCCGCCGCGGTTTTTCCGCCCTGGTCGACCTGGGAGTCGCCCCCAGTCACGTTCGAACATCGGAACGAGCCATCGCCGTCGCCCATCGGATCTGCGGTGGAGAAAAACGACGAGTGGGTGGCGCAAGCGCTGACGTTTTGGTGAGGATTTGCCTCATGCCGAGTGGAAGTCAGCTACGCTATAGTCTCATTAGGGAGGAATATAACGTTGGAAGGATGACTTTGAACCGCGACTGCACAGAACTGCGTCCGTGAAGGGTTCCACCCAGGCAGCTGGTGCCAAATAGCACCTAATTAAGAAGAAATCCAGTCATTGTAAATCATTCACCGATCTTTTCATGTGTAGTTTGCAGCAAAAGAAGGACCAGTCCAAGGAGCAAGCCAAAGCGGACAAACGAAGTTCCCACCGAACGGAAAAGCTCTCGAGGTTCTTTTCCTCAAAGTGCCATTGGCGGTGTCGCCAGCGAAGCCCACCCTAAGGGGCACAGAAGGGAAAGCAAGTTCGAGAGGAACATCGCGGGAGCGAACGTCAGCCGATACGCGCCGACGTGGAAATCATTCTGCCATGAACCTGCTCAAAGTCCCTGAGGTCCTCAATCAGCCTCTTCCAAAGCACCACCTGCGCGCACCAGCGGCATGGATATACCTGATCAATGGCTCTGGCCTTTACCAGGCTACTGCAGTCATGCTGTACATGCCATACTCGGCCATGAGGCGTCATGAAGATGCCAGTGTTGTGGCCCATGGGACATTCTTGTCCATGATGGAGGATTTCTCGCTTCGCTCTGTTGAGCACTGCTTTTGCCGACATACATTCTTGCTGCGCTTCAACCTCCAGCTTGAAGCTCTGTGGTGTAGATCTCATGTTCTTCATCCATCTTTTTCTTGTCCTCCATGTTCTTGACCCTCAGGTCAATTACCTCTTGTAGTGCGCGAGCAAGGTCAGTGTCCGTGCTCCACCATTTCTGTTTCCACTCTTCTGCTTCTCCATATTGTTGGACCAGCTGCGCTTGTAGCTGATGGCGTTCACGTCGTCCAGTGTAGGCGCCATAGGCGTAGCCCATCAGCATTCCAATGATCAAAATGATCGTCACCATGATGCAAAGTGGGGTCCAACCACCGTAGGCGTAGATGACATTGTCGCCGTTCGCTGTGCCATAATCGACAAGGGCGGTGTCGGACTGTCCGTCCTAGAGATCGTTCTCCTGCTGCCAGTTGGCTGTGAGTCATAGCCACCATGGCAAACAGAATCCTTTTCACATAGGTCGTGGCAGTGGTGGTAGTAGGTCTCGAGGTTGGCGTTGTAGGCTCCTCTGAGCTCATCATTCCACCTTCTTCGCCTTAATATTATTCTTCAGGTTGTAGTGTGGAGGTAGTTGCCCTTCAAGGACAAGAGTTGCTCCTTCATGACCCTGATTTCCAAGGAAGTTCTTCGGTCAATGGACGTAGACGTCGTACTGCGCCTTTTTTTTGCGATAGCTGTCGTACAGATTTTGCGTCCGCGAGGACGGGTCGAAGGGCAGTGGCGCCGTGCAGGACCTCTCTGAGGCTACGATCTGGGCGCAAGATGCTTTCAAGGAATCGACATGAGTACTCTGTCGAGTCGGCTGCTTGTCCGGCGCTTTGCGCTTCCGCCGAGAGGAACTCCTGGCGAGGTAGCTTCCAGGACTTCCAGTCGATGACGTGGTTGGCCAACTCCTTGTTGAAGGCGTCCTTATGCACCAAGAGAATGAGAAATCCTCCTTGGGACGTTCCATCTGGTCGTACTCCATGTGCGGTGTCAAACATCGTCACCAGTCGAAGGTCAGAGAAGTCATTCACTGGGATCGGCTCATACTTCAGAGCAATGTCAGCGTTCTGCTCAGCGAACCTGAGAAGTGAACTGGCGTCAACAATCGCCTGCAGCTGGGCCATCTTGCCTGCCGTGAGGCTGCCAACGATCCCAACAAAGCCCTCAGCTGGCTGCGGTCGTGGTCAGCCATTTCCTCCTCTGGTGTTCTGTTGCGATGTACCGTCAGTGTCTTCACGTTGTGGATGTAGCTCTCTTGATTGAGGGCCCAAGTGAAATCCTTTCTGGTCAACACGGCGCCGCAATAGGTGATCTCTTTGGTGTCCTCATCCCAGGTGCGGAAGTTGAAGGCCTGTTGAAGTTGCTTCTCTGCCTCCTAATAGGTTGCACAGGACCGATCGCCAGCACCCAGCATGTCGTCAACGTGTAGGCGTAACACGCCGCAGATCTGACTGTCATGCTTGGAGATGTTGTGGTGAAGGGTGAAGCCGGCAGGGATTCATGTGGTTTTGGATTCAGCTGAGTTTCTTCAATCGTTGGCATGCTTCTACATGTTCTTCTCAGAGAGGGAATCCTTACCTTTCTGTTTTTGCCTGCCTCTTCAACTGCACCTTTTCGTGTTGTGCCACGTTTCGAGCAGGTTGCGGACGAAGATTGTTATTGGGACTTGAAGAGACCATGCCGAGCTCCTTGCGGGCGTCCGCATTGATCTGGAAGATCGTCACGCCGCGCCAGCGGCTAAGCAGTCCAATCACCTTGTCGCTCTTGATGGTCTCCTTGAAGTTGTCGGTGACGGAGCTCAAGTGCCCATGTGTGTCTTGGTAGACTGTCACTCGCTGTGGGTCCAACCTCTCAACTGGAATAGGGACATGGTGTCGAATCAGACATCCTGCCTTGACCTCCCAGGTTGTTTGTGAGTTGGCAGCTTCACGTTAAAGGCATAGGATGTGAGGTCTTGCTTGGAGGTTGACTTGTCATAGGGGCTAGCCATAATGTGTCCATCTGTTCGGTGCGGTCCAAAGGACATGGTTTCTTGCTTGTTCAGACGTTGTCTCTTCTGGTCAAAGGTCTCCTCTGGTGATGTCGTGTAGCGCGAAGCTGTGACAGAATCCAGAGGTTGGTGGCGGTGTAGGCGGTTCGTCTTCCTCTGAGCCTGTGCGGGATGGAGTGGCTCGTCTGGTTGTCGCTGTCTCCTGCCGGTGGTCCAGTGCCTGTTCGTCGTCTTTTGGCCATCTCTTCAGCATCTGAGTCGCCATCGTTCACCTGTTCGTCGCTCTCGACATCATCGATGTTGCGATTGTTCACCCGGCTCAAGTCAACAAAGCGTGCGACGCCCCTGCTCTTTAGGTTGCGAAGCAACTGGGATGCAGAGCTGACATGGTCCAGGATCGTGTTGTCCTGCTTGTGGCTTGGGGTTGATATCCCAGAACCCATTGTAATGGACTGTAGCCTGCCGCTGTCATCTGGGAGTTCGACTGTGGCACGATATATGTGGGAGCTTGGCGAATGCCATCAGAGCCGTCAACCTTCTGGTCCTCGAGGTAGAGCTCCACAGATTTGCGCAGCACTTGATGTTTCCATTCAACCAGGCCGATGCGTTGATGAGCTTTTGCTGGCGAGATGCAGTGATCGATGTTGAGGTCACGTGTCCATGCCACCATAATTGTCAGAGAGCCATCCTCGTCCCTCGTCAGCTGCTGCGGTGGGCCACAGTGCATGAGCCACCTCTGGAGGCCGGGAATGAGGTGCTCGGTCTGCTCTCCGTGAAGGACGGTGGCAGCTTGGTCCTTGGTGATCACGTCGGCTTGTAAGAGCTGTTTGAAGGTGGAACTCTCGGTCACCTTGGCCGGCGTCGCTTCTTGTAGCGCACTGGTAGTTGGCTGCACAGTCCAGCATGGCTTGACTGGCTCCTCTGCTTTGAAGAAGGACTTTTGCCAGCCTCCCATCCGGTGTTCCTTTCTGCCATGGCCCCCCCAGTCCATCCCACTTCATGAATGAAGGCAGCATAGATCCCTTGGACTCGGTTGGCTTGGCATCGTCCTTCTTCGAATTGCTTGAGTTGCTCTGGTTCTTGCTGGCAGCCCTCCTCTTTCTCTGCGACTGGGAGCGCGACTTTGCACGGCTGCATTGCCCCACCAGCCATAGCACTTGGCGCAACGCACCTGCATGTATGTCATCATGACATTGCAGTGTCTGCATTCCCATTTCTGGTTCTGCAAGCTCATTGCAGCTGGGACGTGGGAGACGTGATGGACGGTCAGCAGCTCCACTGCTGTGCTCGCACGAAGCTTCGTGCGTTTGCCCACAGCTCTGGTGCCAAGCTGCCAGAGAAAGGGCCTGGCGCCGCAAATTGCGGTGCCAGCCAGGCTCCTTCAGCCCCAGATGTCGTGCTCGAAAAAAGGCAACCTAAAAACCAAATCCACGGCAGCACCCCGCACATGCAAGGGCTACCTAAGGGTCTCACCTAACCGTCTACCACGCGGGCACATGGCAAACAGCATGGAGCCTTGTAGAAACACCTACCCACAGCAAGAAGTAGGGTTTCTATGAATGAAAGCACAAGGACGGAACGCTCCTTTTTGTCAGCGCTTGAGCCAAAATATGTAAAGGCGATCAAAGATCAAAATGATTTGTACACAGTTGGAAAGACACCATGATCAGGGTATATGTGATGGGTGCACATCCATGCATATTCAACAACTTATATATATAATCTGTATTCTTCCGTCTTTGTAGACTCTTGATTCATATTTATTCTCACGCAGCCGAAAGCTTCTCTCTCAGTGGTGCTTGTTCTAGCACGGCTGAGACAGACTCTTGAGTCATAAAACGATGTCCGTGGATCTCTTCAGGCATGAGGGCCTTTGGTCCAAGAAATCAACCCTTCAGCCTTGCCCAAGCAGAACTGAACCTTCGCCGGATTTCGCCACCCCAAAAACCCGGTGTCGGTCCCAAACATGACGCTTCGAACCAGTGGAGCCGGCGGCGGGGGGCAGAGCCGAGCTCCTGGCATGTGTCCCGGTCTTCGCAACCCGGCTTCCGGCCATCGCCTCGCCAAGAGGAAGGGCGAGGCTGCGACACCTCGGGGTGAGACACCTTAAATAACCCAAGGTAGACCGTTCTGTGGTTCTCTGTGTCTCCATTGATCCGGTTGTCACTAGAGTCCCTGATATGTGACTGTGTAGCTGGTGGCCAGTGGTTCCAGCCAAGGACATGTCTGGGATTCCGTTCAGGTTCCACCTGTTCTTCCTTTGTGAAAAGGATGTGTGTGTGTGCCTTCAAATCAAGGTCAACGACCAGTGATGACAGGTCGTTTGGTCTCAAAATAGAAGGGAGAACCCCCCAAGAAGGAAACTACAAGGACCATTGGTTGAGAGTCCCGTCATTTGACCAGCCCACATGTTGGACATCATGCAAGACCGTTCTTCAAGAAGCCAACTGGCAGAAGCTGTGAAGCTCGCAGACTGGTAGAAGCATTTAATCTAGTGTGGCCTCCACATCGACCAATGACGCTCATCTCCCCCTGCCACCGCACTCCATCAAACTGTTCGTCCCTTCTTGGAGACCGAAGTCTTTCCGATGCCCAGAACTGTCGAAGACCGCTTTTCGTCCAACTTCTGTCGACCGCTTCACCTCTGTCGCAGAACCTTATCAGTCACGTGGATGTTGCACCAACGTCTCAACCAAAGTGGTCAACTGTTCAAGCTTCGTCCTTAGACGGGGTGAGGGAGCACCCTCGTAGACATGTGCACATCAGTCACGCAAAACACAGGGACGCCTCAGACTCACCTTCACACGGCGCATCCGACCAGATCCCATGTGAAAAAGAATAGACAAGATGGAACCCACGAACCCGAATGCAAACACGTGCTCGAAAACAAACGCCCAAAGATGTTTTGACACTCATGAAAAATAATGGAAAATAGGTTAAGCTTCTCCATTCCCTGTAGTGTGTCTTCCACTCCCTGCAGTTTGTGCTCCATTCCATTCAGCTGCCCCTGCCGGTCCGTCCTTAGCAAAAGTTGCGCACAGCACAACCAACTCGTTGCAACTTCAACGGGCAAAAGTTGACACAGTTTAAGGCATGTCGAAGCTTCTGCATGCCTTGTAGCTTGAGCAATGTGTCTTCCATTCGGTGCAGCAGGTCCTTGTGCTCCTCCCTTAGCTCCAAAATAAACAAGACCGCTCAAAACAATACAGCACCATGTTACCAGTATGATTACTTCAAGCTGCAACGAGACTGATCCTGCTCTTTACCAAGAGTTCAGAAACAAACTTGAACAAGAGATGAGTCCAGTTTGAGGAAGAAGCTTGAAATGGTCGGACCGGCCGAAGGGTGCTAGCTAGCTGCTAGCTGCTTCCAAAGCGTGAGAGAGGCATCATCGCTCACTAAAAGGCCCAAGACACTGTGCCGAACTCAGCTCATTGATTTTCTTCCTTGGATCTTACTGGCTCCAGAAACTTCTTAAACAGTATGGGGGCCACAAGAAAACTATTGCGCAAAAAGTACATGCTAATCAGATCTACCGCATGCTCGTCAATTTTCTGCCTCTACTGCAGTGGGTAGAACGCCAATTGCCTCTGTAGCCAGAAACACACTCATTTCCAACAGCTTTTGAATATGGGAAGGTCGTGCAGCGCGTTGCAGCGCGAGATGCAATCGAGGGTCTCGAAACGGTCTTGAACTTTCAGTAAGCCTCACTGATGAGGGACCCACAAAAGTTTGAACTCTTTCCTCAACAGTTTTGGACTAGCCCAAAAAAACGAAACACAAACCAAAAAGTAGATTCACCTAAAAACTGGAAACATAAAAAACCGGTCCGTTTGGCTGTTCGGACCCAAAAAGTCTTCTCTCAACAAGGTCTTCGCAGCTGTTCTTCACCTCGGATCGCACACTCCTCAGATCCTCCACGGGCGCCTCGGGCCGGAGGACCACCCAAATCCAAGACTGCTGCGCGGTGGCGGTGCCTCCAGGTCCACAAAAGCCGAGCGCCACCGCCACCGTGTAGAACAGTCCGGGAAGCTGACATTGGAAGACGCAGCGGCCAAGCAGAAAAAGCACTGCGAGGATGGCGGACAGGGCAAAGGACACTGGGAGGAAGATGAGAAGAAGGACAGAGCCGCAGCGGTACTGGGTCATGAGGCAAACTACGTGGTTGGCCAAAGCTTCTCGCTCCAACCCTCCATGGTCCGGCTCTTTTCCAAAGGCGGCGATCCAAAAAGGAGCCAAAGGCCACCAGGAGAATTGAAGCAGAGTCCGCATCATGCTCTTCTCTCCCTGAGCCTTGCAAAAGCTGAAATGCACTGGAGGAAGAAGGGTTGGTATTGGCCAGCATGGATTCCAACTTAGAGAGACGCTCAGTCAGCATCCAAATGATACTGTAGCTTTGTTTTTGTAGGAGTTGCTTTTCAGCTAACCTCTCGACTGACTTCGATGAGTCGCAGCATCAAGTTTCAAGTTCATCAGTAAAGGAAAGCAATGGTCTAAACCCATCTGGCATGGTAAAATCAAGATTGGACCGGTCTGTCAATACAGAATGTCTTGGGATGTATTAGGGAATGGTTAATAAGCTACTTCATGCTGAAAGCCACGAGTACAAGCAAGTGCTCGTGGACAATTCTGTTCGGCATGGCCCTAGCCGGGCCAATTGGCCTGGCCCACCTCAGAGTCGTCGGAAGCCTCGATCTTGGCGCTGAAGAGGGAGAAGATGAGGTATTTCCACGGTCTTGCTTGCAGCTCCAGCAGCATCTTAGCCCGCGCGCGGTAGAAGAGAACGGCACTCTGATCTTCATAGAGCTCGAAGTTCTGACTCAAGACGCCAACGAAGAGATTCATCAGAAGGAGGAAGATTCCCACCCCGATGCAATAGAAAAGGGCGTGTGCCCAGACCTCAATTGGTGTTGCAACTGAGAATCATCAAGCAGAACTCTGCATCATCTTTGTATGTTCGGGATTCTCTCTTGCAATGGGGTTGTTGGACAAAAGCAGTGGGTGGACCCCCAAAACAGTCAAAAACAAAACTGATACGACGTCTGGCTGACATAGTCTGGTCCAGGATCCGGATCCTGTGGCTCCCAGTGGTGATTCTCGTCGTTCATCTGGTATGTGGTGTCCAAACCTTCAAATTCGTGAAGATCGAAGTCACCAAAGATGCCCAAGCGTATGACCTGCAAGAATGCGGCATAGCTCGGCGTTGGTTCACCCCTCATTTGAAGGTTGTAGTAACAATGTGTGGCTGCAAGGAGGCAAGTGCCAGTGACCACAAAGAATGCCTTTGTGTCTTTAATTGCTGAAAGGATGGGCAACAGTCGTGGACCCATCCAGGTTTCTCCACGGAAGGTATATAAAGCACGCAGCCAGGCTAATGCACTGAACAAGCCCATGAATGGCTTTTCTAGACCGGAAGCTGAGGCTTGTCTCAAGATGGCACACCATCCAATGGTGATGTAAGCGACATCTGCCAGGTTGTCAAAGTCAAGAATGTGTATGCGCTGCATGCAAAACAAGCTGATGTACTGGCAAAGCTCCTCCAAAGTTTTCTTGCCATGTAGCAGGGCGACAAGCATGAGTGATACCTGAGGATGTCCCGGGGCTTGCAAAACTGTTTGGGCACACGTGTCTATTCGCGTCGTTTCTATTCGCTATTACAGCCAACAAATTTACCCAAAAAGGTCTAAATGGACATGCTGGGATTCAGAGGAATGTTGCTGACCACTGCGAAAGCTAAACGAGGTGTAGCACAGCAAGGCCACATTCAGCAGGTTGGACACAATCTCCCATGCTGTAGATGCCCGCAGTTGCATCCAGGCTGCTGAAACCACAGCCTCAACCACTTCTGTTTGAAAAATGCCTTCATTCATCGTCTCCGTCATCGCCTTGAGCATCTCGCGTTCGTAAGCATCGCTGGCATTGAGCCCAGGCAAGAAGTAGAGATCTACCTGAACAGCTGGGGTATGGTAGAGGTTCTGAGTCTCCAGCGTGGCATATTCTTGCGCCGCATCAAGCTCGCCTTTTCGACTTGGAGCTGCCAAAACCGTTCGCAGGCGCTCTCGCAGATGGGCGCGCCGTTCGCCCAGCGCGACGGATTTGCGTCTTAAAGTGCCCCTGCGGGAGCTGTGCTGGATCCTGGCCTTCTTCTTCCAGGACTGTAGAGCCTCCACAGCATCCGGCCCTTCGGCCCTGATCAGAAACTGCATTAGCTCTTTGTTGGCTTTGCCGGCTTCACAGAAAGCTTGTAGGGCACGAAGATTGGATTCCTTCATCGCCAATTGAAGAGGGCTTGGAGTGGGTTCATGGGGATTTTGGGGCTCCCTCACCTTGGCGGCTAAATTGGCATCAGCATCTGCTTCCAAAAGCAGCTTGACCACTTCCACTTGTTCGGGTCCATGGAGACCCACAGCCTGATGCAAGGGGGTCATGCCCTCGGAATTGAAGGCGTTCACGGCTGCTTTGCTTTCCAGGAGGAAGGGTATTGCTGAGGAGCATTCTTGAAGTGCCCAATGCAGGGCAGACATTCCCTGCAACTCCTCATCGGCGTTGGCATTCACTTGATCAAACCATTGAAGTGCTGAGACATGTTGGGCGTTGCGGGCAGCTTCCCATGCCTCAAGTAAGATGTCCTTTTGTGTCAGGACGGCCTCATCTGGCCCTTCGGGAAGTACGATATTCTTGTCTCTCTCCAGGGCCTCCTCTTGTCTGCCAAATATCACCTACATCACGAAAATTTCAGGGCCACCTGCTACATGTGCCTGGGACGTGCCTGGGTATATTAAATGAAACAAACGCCGCTCACTTAACTTATTTTGTTGCATGCTTTCTCAAATTCAATTCATGGCCACATCCACAATAACTTCGACAACCGCGCGTCACATCACCAATGGCCCAGCATAGACCATCCATCCCCAGACATCACACTGTCAAGGTGTAGGGTACCAACATTGTGAGGAGTACTACATGTACATGCCACACGCATGTCCAAAAGTGCACTGACTTTCCTAAGGCCCCTAGTGAGAGCCAGATAGGGACATGATCCAAATATGGTCCCAACTATACGTATCAAATTAACAAAAGGTGTCTAGTGTGAGAAAAGATCCTCTTATGCCAATGCAAAATGCAAGGCTGTTCATATATTACGTGACGCCGTTTATCCAGATATGTGTCGCATTGGAAGTTTGAAGCTCCTGCTCCTAGGGGCCGCATACAAAGCCATTGGGACAATGAAAGCGCATACTCCACAGCTAACAGCTACTGTAACAGCTATGCGAAAGCAAAAATCCTCGCACAGCACACCACACCTGTATTTAAAAAGTAATATATAGAGAGAGAGAGAGATGGCAGCAACTAAACAATGACATCCAGAATGCAGAGCATGTATATGTGTAAAATAAGCCATCTACTCATTCGTACGGAAAATTGTTGAATAAGGCAACACTCAAAGGTAAATCAAATGACAAATGATGGTGATGGAAAGGACAGTTCTGAGAGCACTATCATCCTCAAGAACAAAGAGTGAAGTGCTCACCCACAATGACACTAGGCAAGTGTGCAAAAAGAGTTGAACTGGAAGTCTGGATTTGTTAATATCAATACAGTACATTAACAGTTAACACTGGAGAATGTACCAAAAATATAATCAAACTTGAGTCCTTAGTGCGAGCTTTAGATATGAATAAAACCTTTGCAAAAGAACCGTTCCCTCACATGAACTGCAGCACAAAACATAGTAATGGTTGTGTATCACGAAAAGAGCCTCGCTCTACCAACAGACTTACCATAAGATGTGCCTGATGCTGATGTGATCATAGTAAACTGCTTCTCTCCTCTCTGCCACAAGATTTTCAAAAAAAATATCACTCACACTATCCTCATATTGTACAAAATTCAATCCTTGGCTCCCATTCTCTGCATATTGGGACAACTGCATCGTGCTGTGTACGACTGCATCGTGTTGTCTAGGACCATCATCGCCCTGAACCGACACAATCAGCATGACACGACACGACACAATCGTCTGAGGGCATGTGAAAAAGCATGTGCTTAAAACACATCCAACTGCTTGTAAGCTATGTCACGTTTACCAAAAAATATGTAATTAATAGAACCAATCCGAACCAATCAATACATACAAATCCCCTGAGAAAGCAATAAACCAATCCAAACCAATGAAAGCTTGCAAGAACCTCGGAAAAACAAATATCCTTTTCGGGTCCATGTCTGGAGCAATGACCACCACCACATGGGTTCTGAAACCGGTTTACTTGTTACTTTGAGGTTGGTTTGGATTCGTTCCACTGGTTTTGCTCAAAGTGTTTTCTCCTTTGCTTTGAGCAAACGGGAGTGCTCAGAAGTAAAACCGTGTTCCAACAAAATGTAAGAAGCGTGTGTCAATGTTCATGGATTTGATACAGAGATGTGTATTTGAGCCTACTTAGTCAAATTGTCACCATTGAATGTCATAGTGTGTGATGCGCTGCACACATGTACGACACTCTACCCCCTTTTTATAAGGTCCAAAGTAGTTCAAGTTCCCTAGAGTGGTTGCACCAGCGGGTTCCAAGTATAGCGTCACAATGCATCATAACAAGCGTATCTGCTGATGCGACTCAGCACATTCACAAAATCGACAACAAAAAAGACCTTACTGACACTGGTCCATGCGTCTGACGCTGGAGCTTTCACCTTACTCCGCTTCTTCTTTCGCTTCGGATGCACTTGCGTGCTGGACTGTGCCTGAGACCGGCAGGCAAAAGCACCTACTGTATGGCACCTGTGGTTGATGAACAGCCCGGCCACCGATGAACAGCAGCATCAAAAATACCACCAAACATCGAGTTCTACGGTACTTGCGAGTGGGGATGTAGCACAAATGGGACATGATTCTGTTTCTCGATCAAGCGGACGCAAGCTCCAACTCAAGCCGCCAATCCGAACTGAAAATCACTGGTCAAGAATAGTCTTAAGGGGGTCCTTTTTCCAGGTCCATCCATGTGCTGGGATTTGCAGGACACTTGTAGGGTGTAGATGGCTGTCCATATGCGCTCCCATCCCAAGTGGTACGCTGGTTCTCTCAACATGGAGCAGCTGCGGTCCCTGTTAAAATACAGAATTCCATTCTCACAAACAAGAGAAGCTAGTAGGAACAAGTGCCACACTACTAGTAACAAGTGCCTTACTAGTAGTAACAAGAAGCTACAGAATTCCATTCTCACAAACGAGAGACGTCATCCGAGGATCTGATGCCCTCATCGTGCGATTCCCACGTCGCCATGGAGCAGCTGCCCTCATCACTGAAAAAAACAACAGGTTGTTGTCTGTGTTATATGACTTGATTCACGTTGTTTGTGTTATTAGAAGAATCCATAGGTCCCGGAAACCCCATCGGTGACTTGTGGAAAGAAGCTTGGTCCCCAGGCTTGTGGATGGTCCACTGCTTGGGTCTTGATTTGTGACAGACTCAAGATCGCACACACCAAAAAAAATGGAAGGAAACTGGGATATGTTATCTCCACCCAAATCAAAGTGGGTTCCTCACGTGAAACGCAGGTCACATACTTGAGAAGTGCCGGATCAGGTGACGCAATGCAAGGCATGGAGCCCAACGCTCGGGTCCTAAGCACATGCTAACAACTGAATACGGAAGGCATCCAGAACCACCGGGACCGGGACCTAGACGTCATCATGCCCACCTACGGTTCCCTTCCTTCCAAAGGATCCAGAACCACCTCTGCTCCCCACCACAACCACCCCTCTGCTCCAGAAGCACTTTATTCGTCACTATCGGCCAAACAAGTCTTATTCACCCGCAAGCGATAGGTCCAACATCCCAACATACTGAACCTGATGCTGATCTGCTGAGTAACTGGGCATCCAACAAAAGTGATCTCCTCAAAGCACATTGTAGACGATGTTGGTGGGTGCAGGTTGGGCGCACCAAAAACTGAGACCTGGACAGACCATTGCATTGTCTGGAACCAGACCAAGGACCAATAAAGATCAGGCCCACATGGAACCATCGCTTCCCTCACCCTTTTGGCGCCTCAGAGTTTCTGAGTCAACGATCGCATCTTTGCCTGGCGCCGCTCTTCCAGCAAAGGTTGAAGAACCCTATAGACTATCCTATAGTTACCCCTGGTTACCGGTCCTATAAAGGTCACATAACCTCTGTGGGTTTGCTCAACGATGCAGGCCCGATGCTCAACTGCGCGGAACCATCGAAATCCCCAGCAAGCAAGGGTTACCTCAGACCATGCCGCGTGTCGGGGAGGTTGATACCGGTCTTTTCGCGGACCAACAGGATACTGCGTGATTCTTGGTTCTTCCGTCAATCCGAGCATCACACAGTGCCAGTTGATCCGGCTTTGTTCGTTCCTCCCATCGAAAGCCACCCCTGGGAGCGCTCTCCACGCCTCAGCACCCAGCGAACTCGTTCTCACTGTCCCATCAGTCTCATCCCGGCTGCGTGGCCGCGTGGCCTGGGTTCGCACCAGCAGCACTTGTATAGACTGATCCAAGTGATGCAGGTGAAGGTGCTCAAGGGACAAGTCCTTGGGGGGGGTTGTTCTTTGGGGAGAAGCTGATCTCAGATTCTGGGTCTCAGTTCAACGGAGCTGCAAGTCTGAAGAGAGCCCAGCAAAACTTGCGGGTGTCATTCGGGGTGTCAGTTCAGTCAGAAACTCATCATCTCAAACGGTTTTCGCGATCTACATATATATATGATCCATCTGCGTGATGTGTCGACCTCTTCTCGGCTTTCATAGATAGACATGAACACGTTTTTGCAACGTCGCGATAATTCATTGAATTAGTTGTATATATATATATATATAGTATTTGTTCAGCCTTGAGGATAAAGTCGGCTTTGCTTGTGCATCCTTTTCACCTAGTTTCATTACCCCCAGTACCCAGGTCAATGATCTAAAGGGTTGTTTGAAGGGGATCCCAAGTCCAACTCCACATGGAGCAAATCACCATACATTGAATGTTTTGCAAAGTTGCGTCAAATTGGCTCATCTAATGGGCTATCCTCGAACAAATGGAATGGGATGTTGATGACTTGAGTGTGGGTCTCCAAGGTAAGGGCCTTACTTAGACCACCGTCTTTTGCCTTTGCAGCTCTGGCCACCGCACGGAAACACGTCAAGTCTGCCGGCGTTGACCGTCGTCCGCGCCGTCTTCTCGCGCCGAAGCTCAGATTCGCCCGAAGCACTCAGCTCCGGTGCCACGGGTAGGGTATGTCTTGGGGATATCCCATGGCCGATGAGGATTCACAAAAACAGTGGTCTTTCTACCAACTGTCATTGATTTACTGGGACACACGCCGCACGCTAGCTAGGTCCAGGCAAATGTGGGCTTCGCAGTGGGCATCTTCAGTCTGCTGACAGCTCGTGGCCACTGTTGCAAGCGGTGATTTGCTGGCTTTTAGAACTCATCACATAGCAGTGGGTTTTGACCCAGGGGGACCCTGGTTGACCACCCAAAATGAACAAATGTGTTTGGTTGACATACTGCGCTTGACATCGGATGATGCAACGTCTCCAGTTGGCCCAAGAGCGCCGAGAGTCTTCCGAGCCCAATGGCCGCAGGGTTTGGACATTCTCAGACAAAACGTCTGAATCCTGCGTGAAAATGGAGAGGGCAGATGGTCAGTCAACAGCCTGGTCATATTCGATGTTGCCTCAAGAAGGCCTTTTGGCTCGCAAAATTGGCTAGACAGGATCGGGCGAAATACATAAATGACTGCTGAACACCTGAGAAGGGCGGAACTCAACATGTCTGTATGCCTGAAATGCCTGATGTTTTCCGCCAGATCCTGTGCGCATCTGTGATTCCAGAGGGCCCAGCCACGAAATTATCGAAGTGAAGCGCTTCCCCAATGCTTTTTGCACGGGTGGAGCCGCCATTCATGCAGGAAGTGCATAGGTCAGTTCGTGCTGTTTTTGAAAGAGTCTCCAGCATGCAGTGCCAAGCAACAAACACAACACCAACACAAACAAACACCAAACAAAAGCCAACCAGGGGAGAAAGCAGGAGACTCTTGAATGTACATGCAGGGTGAAACAGGTGTGAGACATAAGTCGGGCGTTGAATTAATGCAAAAAGGCCACATGATAAGCTTGGAGCCAAGTCGAAGTAGCTTTTTTTGCACGGGTGGAGCCGCCGTTTATGCAGGAAATGCATAGGTCAGCTTGTGCTGTTTTTGAAAGAGTCTTTTGCATGAAGCGCCAAACAACAAAAGCCACACCAAACCAAACCACCACAAAAACAACAAAACAACAAACAACCAAAGAAGAAAGCAGGAGACTCTTGAGTGCACATGCAAGGTGAAACCGGTGTGAGACATAAATCGGGCGTTGAATTAGCGCAAAAAGGCTACATGAAAAGCCTGGAGCCAAGTCGAAGTTGCTGACACTATTCCTGGCTTGATTTCATAGGCTTAAACGAGTTGACCACATTATGAGCCGAGAGAAGCAGGTGATCCTCATGCCCGGGATATTGCTTTGTGTTGCTTTGCGGTTACAAAGGCGTGGGCAATCAGATCAGACAAACTTTGACAAGCTAGTCAGACGGCATGGTTGATATTTAGGGTGCGTTTCTGTTCTCTTATGCTCATAATTCATGATCTGGAAAACCACTGGTGACAATTCGGCTCTGACGCTCCAAACGAAAGGGCAATCCATTGTCAGCAATGCGGCCTATCGATGCTGTGCAGTTTGGCTGTCAGTGAGATGGAGATGGCTGCACAATCAATGACATGTCTAACGAGCAGGGATAGTGATGCCCCTTGCTGTCTTGCAGCCATGCATCTCGCTCCCACAGAGGGAGGGGGGTGATGCTGTCTCACCAAAGTGCCCTTCTGAACAGCTGATCAGCGAGGGTGGTCTTCTTCTGCAGATTTTGGACAGTCAGCGGCAAGCTTGTTGGGACATCGAGACACGAGTGGACAGGCTGTCTTCCAGTGCATCACGCAGCGCTCTTGTGAAACAGGTGAAACGACCATAGGACGGTATTTGCTGTTCGCTTTGTACACGGCTGGCAGGGTCGGAGGCCCACGCCCATGGACAAGGACTGAGTCCTCGCCAGGTTTCCAGCCGATTGGGCCTAGAATGCAATTCTATGCAGCGTCACTACTTAAGTGCACAGGGAGATTTCTTGAAATGGCTATCGGCTTGCATGTCCCGCGGAGTCGTCCCCCTTATGAGGGAGGAGGTGAATGCAGTCTGGAATTTCACAAATCAAAGGCATTGCCTTCTGCATATGGTCCTCTCCAAGTTGTTCGTTTGCCAGGCATGCGTTTAAAGCATGTCAGCTGGTCACAATTAAGGAAAGCCTGATGGGCAATGTACCTGAGTGTTGGTGGGATGCCCACTTGTCCAAGAGCACGACAGCACATGAATGCTTCTTCATGGATTTGCTGCAGTGCGGCCGGAAGCAAAATGTGCTGGAGATTCACACAATGTGAGAACGTGGATTCACGGATGGCCTTGATTGTCGTACTGGAGAGATCGACAAGGGCAAGCACTTTGCAGTTATCGCAGGCTAACGGGCCTGAAAGACTAATGTCCAACGGGAGTTGGAGGCAATTGAGCCCCGATGAGCTGAAGCAACCTTGCGGTACTTCTCGAGAAGGTGACGGTGGTTGAAATGGTGGTCCCTTAGTGGCATGGGTAATCTTGATCTGGGAGAGCATATAACAGCTTTCGAAAAGATTCGGAGCCAATGTTGCACCTGGGGCAATTGTATTATTTCCGTCATCACCTTACGATGACATGATCCGGGATGCGCAAAGTTCAAATGTGGAATGGAATGGTCATAGTTGGATTTCCACCTGCAGTAAAAAGCGTAAGGTGCGCCAGAGAATCACTGGGAAGCAACCTTTCAAAATCAAACCTCCGGTTTCTGGTTCTTGTTCGGGACTGCGCGGAAAGCTCGTCAAGTGGAAGTGTCCTGAATGCGAGCTTGTGCTCCAGACTCAGTCAGGAAGTATGTCGCAGGCCAAAGATCACCATCTTAAAAGCCGGCACCCCCATTTTGATGTTTCTCTAGTCAAAGCAAGTCAAAAGCCGACGCCGGTCATCTTTGCCCAAGCAATCCCTGCTGAACAAAGAGATTTGTCGTGTCCTATTTGTGACAAAGGTATTGGTGCTTTGCCTAATCAAGAGCGGATCCGTGCTATTCGGCATCATTGTCAAGTAGAACATCCCGAACACACGGTCAAATCACTTGTTAATTTGACTAGAAAGGGGCGAAAGAATTCTGGAGTTTCAAGCAAACAATTGCAGCAGCATGCGGAAAACCGCGACAAGAAGCATGCCTCCCATCAATGTGTGATGTTGCCCCAGGAAACAAATTCAAAGGATAGAGGGCGAATGACCTGGTGCAAAAAGTGTCTGTCTGTTCTGACCAAAGGTGGTCCTAAGTTAAGTCAGTTGAGTTGCTCCGACAGATTGCAGCGTCTCAAAACCAATCCTTTTGTAAAAAAGATGAAGAGAGATTGGTGGAATCGTGTACAGCTGCGCGATCCTGCATGGGCTAAAGAATTTCTCATCTTGACGGGGTGGGATCAGGGAGCTCTAGAAGATTTGCTAGCTCCTGTCTACAAAAACGAGAAAGCAAGGATCGCAGGCCAAAAGCGCATCGCAAAACTGCACAAGGCTAAGGCTGCTGAGCAGTCACTGTGACAGGGTGGGTCGTGGTCGATCTTGTTACCACGACCCACTTTGCAACTGGTACTTTGGCCGGTTGGTTACTCTGGTATGCGGGTCGGTGAAGCAAAAAACCCGGGTCCCTTCAAAAAGAATGAGCAGACCAAAGAGGTGTCTCTTCTATCCCTCAACGTGGGAGGTGCGCCAGGTGCCTGGCGGCTTTTTCATGAGAAATTTTCTGGGGCAGACATTGTTTGTCTTCAAGAGTGCAACATGAACGCTTCTGAGTGGCAGTGTTTCCTAAACAAGTGTACGCGACTCGGCTACAAAGGGTTCTTTCAACCTGGTCACCTGAAGAATGATAGGTGGGGTCATGAAAGAATGTTTGGCGGCGTGGCCATCTTGGTCCACCGAAGTGTTTTCTTCTCTTTTGCCACTTTCAGGTCCCTCTGGGGTATTCAAACCATTGCCGTTTGGGTTAAAGGTATGGTATGTTGGTGATCAACTGTTATAGCCCTCCCGGACACGACCCCACGGTCCCCACGGTGTTGGAAGAGGTTTGGACTCAGTTTAGCCTTCCTGGGAAACCTTGGTTGGTGGTGGGGGACTTCAATAAAAAAACCGACGAAAGTGCTGCGGGTAGGTTTTTACAAATCCACGGTGGTCATTTGGTTGGGGACCCCGAAATTGGATCCCGTTGGAACAGCCCACACTTCATTGATTGGGGTATGGTCTCCGCGCTTGACGAAGCCTCCTTTATCAAAATGCATGACCACATTCACATCTCCGATCACAAAGGTTTCTGGGTGTCCATCACGCGTGCGGCGCGGGCGCATCAGACAGGTCGTTTGAAACCTTCCCCTAAGTGGTATCAGCCAACTTGGATTTCTAAACCGGATTGGATTTCCTTTCTCGAAACCTGCTGGAACGAACCTGTCTTACCTTCTTCGCGGTATGGATCCCTTTTGGACGCACTCAACAGACCGTTTCAGGAGGACAGTGAAGAAGATGTGCAACTTGAATGGGATCACTTTATGGCTTGTTTGAACCTGTGTTTTTTCCAGGCCTTCACTAAGATTGGCCGTGATCCCCAAAATACTGAAGAACAGAATAGGGAAATACAGAAAGTTTTGCGGCAGCCAGGATTGTCGGCAAAAGGTGCCCCTGCGACTTGGCAGCAAATAAACGGAGCTGCGGTCGCCAGAGGCGACCCGCGGCCGGGCGAAAAAGTTCGGAGGCTTCGTAGGAAGCTGGCTCGAGTGTTTGAAGCCCGTCGATGCTGCTTGAAGAACATCCTTCCCCCGAACAAAATCGACTCCTCTCCGGACCCTGAACGAGACTTCTCGGACCACATCAAACAGTTGGATGACCTCATTCTTCAGCTCCAGAGCACTCTTACTAAAATTGAAGCGGACCAGGACCAGAAACATGATGATATTGCGCGATGGAAAGCGCGACTAAATGACTCCACCCTTAAAGGGATTGCAGTGCCTTCGATGCCCTCGTACGTAAGGTACCGGTACCGAGATCAGATCACTGCAAAATTGACTGCTCGTCTGTGCGGCCAACAGAGCCCCTCCAAGCTTTGTTAGGTGAAAATGCTAATGTACCAACTACAAGAACCCTTGACTGCATGATGCC